ATTGCCTACAATTACAGTACTGTACATAAACTTAAGCTCTCTCTCTCTCTCTCTCTCTCTCTCTCTTATGTTTATGAAAATACAATCCGATGCACAATATGTTAATTAAATAATTAAATACCAGTTGGAATCGATTGTTTAAAATAAAAATTTTATTTATTTAACATATAAGAATTGTGATTTATGAGAAAATATTACATATGAATTATAAATAATAGTAATTTAAGAATCTATTATTTATTCAAATAAGAGTCAAATATAAATACATTAATCGTTTTGAACAATCGTTTTGTTATGTTATTTGAATGAGAATTTTTGAAATGATTGCAAAATATGTGGTAATCATGAAGTGAGTAGTGATTGTTTAGGGAAAGGAAGCCCTTCTCTTCATTATAATTAAGTTTGGTTTTCATATAAAGTGATTATAAATAAATAATACAAATTCTTACAGAATATCATAAGCCATTAACTCTTGTCACAAGAGTCTTANATTTTTGAAATGATTGCAAAATATGTGGTAATCATGAAGTGAGTAGTGATTGTTTAGGGAAAGGAAGCCCTTCTCTTCATTATAATTAAGTTTGGTTTTCATATAAAGTGATTATAAATAAATAATACAAATTCGCACAGAATATCATCAGCCATTAACTCTTGTCACAAGAGTCTTATGTTATATTAAAAATCAAAACAATAGTCACTGAATAAGCCATACATTCAAAGTTGACTTTAACTTTGTTTCTGAACGTCGTCTCGCAATGCATTGATTTTGCTGCAGATTTTGAGCGCCGGACCCAATTTCATGCTCATTGTGTTCATCAGATGGTCCTCTTTGATGAGCATAAGCGCCTGTCCGTCAATTTCTTGGGACCTGAAGTCGTCTGCATATTCCGTACATCCCTGAAGATTACGCACGAATTCATAGACATCGTTGACCTGTCATTCAATAAATACAGTTAACGTTAACATTGTCTCCATATCTTAACTCAATATATCTTACACTCCATTGAAGAGGGTTTCGACCGCCGGGAGGAATATAGAGACCGGCCGTAGCACTGGTGGCACTGGAGTTGGAGTCATCGGGTGTCACAACTGCCACATTGGGTATCACATTAACGGATGGTGTGTCTAAAGACGTGTTGAGCGTTGACTTGCGATGATTTCGATCCATCGAGTCATTCAAATCTCCATTTCTGGTCGAGTTCTATAAATATTTCATTTTAAATGTTTAGAAATCAATTCAATTATAGTTTTGAATAAATAGTTTATGAGATAACAAACCAAATCATTGGTGCTGTCATGAGATCTCTTCAACGATTTCTTTTTCCTTTCGTCGACAGTTTGCTTATCATTCGTATCGTTTGCGGACAACTCGACGCCTGATTCATGACTTATCTGTGGGTCTGTGCCTTCGAGATGAGCGGTCACTGAATTATATAACGCGAGGCGAGGACTGGACGAAGAGTTCCTTTCATTATTTGAATTGAATTTCTCAGAACACGATTGACTACAAAATCGTTTAAAATTGCGATTATTTTTTGAATTAGACTTTCGTTTTTGTCCGCAAAATAGACATAAATGGCGGTCAGCCGTCGATTTGCGCGATGACATCGAAGGCAATGAACTGGCGGTCAATGAGTTCTCATTCTTGGTCTTCGCTTTAATGCTTTCTATCGGAATAATTGTGTTATTCTTCTCGTCGGTTAAGCACTTTTGGTCACCACTATAGGAGAGGCCATTGACTGGGAAAGGGTTAGGACTCTCTTGGATGATATAGCCATCGATAACATGCGTCAGGATCTGTGGCTTTATAGCCTTCTGTGGCGGCTGTTTGGAGATGTCCTGACGGTTCAGATCAGACAAAACTTGTGGACAGTTGTGTTGACTTACATTATTGGAGACATTATTTGTCGTCTGAATGGAGTTCTGAACGGATTTGTGATTGTGTTGAGCGTACAAATTGTTCATCACATCCGAGTCGCCTCCAGTCGACGCGTCCTTCTTCTCGACCACAGCCCTCTTCGTCGGAGTCTTCACTTCATTGGCAATTGAGTTGACTTTCGTTTGGCTCGACTCAGAGCTCGTATTAGTACTGGAATTGCTTTTCAGTGGTTTGTTGTTGTGATCACTCGTGTGACGACTCGACGACACCTGACTCTGACTATTAGTTTTGGACGTCTCTGTGGCCACTGACACGCGAGTCGTTTGATTCGAGGCATCGCTTTTGTTTGACTGAAGGGTCGGTTGACTAATGGTTTGAGTGCTGCCAACACCTGTTGACCGCATTGTCGTTGTGTTCGAGTCTTTGCCAATGGGTTTAGTATTTTGCGGCACTGATTGGGGACTGGACTTGGGTTTTGCCGCTATTGGCTTCAGTGGAGTCGAACTCTCGGGATGTTGTTTCTGAGCAACGACTGGAGCGGCAGTCTGTGTGGCAATGCTGGCCTGCCTTATATTTCGCATTTTAGTAGCGCTGGGAGGTGTGGGAGCGGGTGCTATGGCTGGGGGCTGGCTGGTGGTGACCACTGATGTGGTGGGCGTTGTGTTCATGATAGTGGTCGTAGTAATTTGCTGAAGAGTTGGTGTCATTTGTGTGGGCGCCGCCATGTGTGCGGTGTTGACCGGCATGTGAGCGGTCGTGTTGTGCATCATAGGCGGTGCCATTGAGACGGTCTGTATGTGAGGACTGGACATATTGGAAGTGGATATAAACATATGTTCGGTGCCCTGAGTGGGGCCTCTGATGAAAATGGGGGACCCGTTGGGGGCCACCAAATGGGTTGACTGAGGACTCGTAGCCCACGTGAGTCCCGGCGGCAGAGTTTGGAAAGAACCCAATATCTGTGGGTTTGTTAGTAAACCCGAAGGCGTTTGTGTTGTAATCAATTGAGCCGTATTAGGGTTGGCAGAAAATGGACTCTTGAACTGAGGATTAGCCATAAGTGTCGACGATATAGATGTGGCCGTCGCTGGAAGTATTGGCGACTTGGGTTGAATGGCACCGCTATGGGACAGCATCTGTCGAGACAATGGACACCATTTTAATTGATTCACAGCTTACAGTCATTGAAAACATGCATTAAGAGCAACCAAATGGACAGTTAGACAAACCTTATTACTAAAGGGTCGGACAAAACCCATTCCCTAACATACGAACCAAAATCAGTGCAAAACAACAACAAATGAAACAAATGGCAAACATTGAGACCATTGGACACATTCATCAAAAGTAGCAATTGTTTGCGAATTAAATGAAATAGACTTACAAATGGCTTTCCTTTGGGGCCCTCTATAATGGTTTTGTTGGCATTTGCGGGTAGAATCGACTGTTGGATTTGGTGTTGATTTTGTTGGGGCAACAGTTGGCTGATGACTACCGTCTGATTGGCCGACGAATGGGGTATAAACTGTTGGGCCGGCAGAACCTGTTTCAGTATCTGTTGAGTGCCCGGCGGACCCATATTAGGCTTGAGTTGTTGTATCATCTGATGGGTCTGAGGCAGTGGTGAGATGGCCACCCCTTTCGACATAATGGGGGGTTTGGCCGCAATGGAGGTGATGGGCATCGTATGCGTGTTCAGAGATCCCGATCCCGTGAATGGGATCTGAAGGGAGAGGCCCTGATTGGTGGCGCCGAAGGCACTCATGTTCTGAATGGTGAGATTGCCGGGCAGTAGCATCTGTTGGGGATACACCTGTTGGAACTGATAGGTGCCCGCAGGCGCGCCAATGGGCTGCTGAATCACCTGCATCTGAGGTAACGAAGACATGGCAACACTCATCTGATTGGCGGCCGACTGCTGGACCGACGTCTGAAGCAATGGTTGCATTTGGTTGTGGTGTTGGGGCTGTTGTGCCGCCATTTGCACGGTCTGGTTGGCCACCGAAGTGATGGTTGCGCCCAACGACTGAGCCATGAGAGCGTTGGTGGCACTCATGTGCGCCGATTGAGTGGAAGCAACCAATTGGGGCTGAGATGAAGACACCATCTGCTGCTGACTCTGAGTACTGACCGCTTGAATGGATCCCTGAGTGGAGACTGTGACCGAAGAGGGCATCGGCGACGAACTCATCGTTAGATTGGGTGTCGAAGTCATAGAGTTATGGGTTTCTGAAGCATTGGATGAGATAATGGTTGCACTCAACGAGACATTCACTGCAGAGTTGGCCGAAGACTCGGCCGTCGAGTTGTGATCACCGGTAGTGACGAGGGATGAGACCTGTTGTGGAGACTGCTGTGTCTCCATAGATGTGCTAATCAGTGATGTCTTCAGTGGTTGAGTGGCGTTGACATTGATTTGTGTCAAACAATCACTCATTGCTTTCAAAGGGTTTACGGTTTAGTAATAGTTTGCAAACAAATGTCAAACCAATGAATGGATGCAAACACACGACACATAAACACATAAACAAACACTCAATGAGTCGATGAGTTATCAATGAATCCGTGAGACTATCACTGCATTCATCGCACACTTGTGTCAACCCTTCACACCACCAATGCTTCACTCAATGCAGTGTTCAATGCGATTGTCGTGAAGTTAATTGTGATCACTATTCGTGCCATTCATGGCTGCCATTAGTCACACATTGTCTCCAATGTCCGCACATATCATAAGGTGTTATGCATTGAATGGATAGACAAATCACTGACAAAGGGAGTCATCACTACCACCACCACTACATCCACCACAACCTACACCATCAACACCACATCACTCATCGTACTTACCGTACCTTTTCATACGTTACTTCATTCATATGCCAGTCTAAAGGTACTGACTCTTGTGTCCAGTTATCGCCTTTTATAAGACATGCCATCAATTGTGTGAAAGTAGTGATGCGTTGATTGGTTGAGTGGAAATCCAATCTATGTGTGCCTTCACTCCATTGGTTGACAGAGTTTTATGTGTTGTTTGCATTGCAATGCAATCATTAATAGTTATGTTAATTAAAGCTTACATTTAATGAATGAATTGACTTATCGTGTATTGCAAATGATTTGTATATTGTATACAATGTGCACCATATTTCATACAATAATACATGAACTAACAAATGAAAACATATAAGTAATGCAAATATGTGTAAGTATTTGCAGCCAATTGTGGCCAATGGCAGAGCACAGCACTGGACCCCCAGTCGTGAGCCGTATGACAGACACGAGGAGTGATGGCATGACTTTCATAGAGACACACATTCAAAGATGAGCTCAACCTCTAAAGCTAACCTATGGACGCATATGTGGTGACTTTTTCTCAATCATTTGTTTGCCAATTATTTGGACGCAACAGACATATCAGATATAATAGACTATCTACTATATGTAGTCTATGTGCATTTAAGTTGTACATACTATTTATTATACCGTACAGTACAGTATTATACACTCAATATATAGAATCCTTATAAGTGAACAGAATTTGAGTTTCTAGTTTATGAAAGAACTGTACTTATTGTATTTGAATAGAACTACCTAGAACCTATTTTAATATAATTTGAAGAGCTTTAAAACAATTTTATACTACCGGTATATTTACTCTATATACTCCTTTGTAGGTTTCTAAAAAAATGTTGAAAGTTGCATTAATTGAGCTATATTGTACAAAATAAATTAATAGAAGTAAAAATGATATACACTTAATAGAATAGTAATATGAAGTAAGATATTTGTATTGACTATAATAATTGTGTATATGCTATGCTATGTTATTTTCAATTCATGATCACTTGAATGCAAATACTGTACTTGTAACCTTTTTGACCCCGCATTCTTACTTTAGTGCATTACACCAAATATCATACTGTACTGTATTCATGCAATTACCCATTACAGTATTGAGTCACTTTTTACATTCATTGTAACTATAATAATGACAAGTTTTATTTTATACAAATTTTGATTTTGTTTTTAACAGAAATACTTTCAAAATATTATACAAAATATCTTAATATAACTACAGTATGATATTCTTTTTGAATTGAATCATATTTAAAGTAAAGTTGTTTATAAAAGAGTTCTCACAATTTGAAACTAAAAAATAATAATATTATAAGTTTACTAAAATCAGTTAACCCCATGTTTTCAATACAAAGAGCGCAAAGTGTGCAACTCATGCCCGTGTACTGCATATCCATATACAGTAATAAGTTACTATAACAGTATACACCGCTTTGGATATTCAATTATATAACAAATCAATATACTGTACAAATAGTTCAATATACCCGGATTATATGTATGAATAATAATTTATACAGTATTCAATTAAACTATTTACTGTTATCATTCACACGATTCATAATAAGAAAATTTTTTGAAGCTAACTTTTTTCGTTCAAAATTTGTCATTATTACAGTTAAATGAATGTAAAAAAGTGTCACAATACTGTAATGGGTAATTGCATGAATACAGTACAGTATGATATTAAATGTAATGCACTAAAGTAAGAATGCGGGGTCAAAAAGGTTACAAGTATTTGCATTTACAGTTAAGTGATAATGAATTGAAAAAATGATAATAGCGATCTGTTAATGTGATAGCATTCAACACAAATCATTTGTAAATACTGTAGCATAGCATAGCATAGCATAGCATAGCATACACAACTATTATAGTAAATGCTATATCTTACTTCATATTACTATTCTTTTAAGTGTATATCATATTTACTTGTATGCTATGCTATGCTATTATTTTGTACAATATACTGTAGCTCAATTAATGCAACTTTCAACATTTTTTAGGAACCTACAAAGGAGTATATACGGTACAGTATATACAGTACAGTATATAGTAGATACCAGTATACGGGTAATATAAAATTGTTTTTAAAGATTTTCGAATTATATTGAAATAGGTTCTAGGTAGTTCTATTCAAATACAATAAGTACAGTTCTTTCATGAACTAGAAACTCAAATTCTGTTCACTTATAAGGATTCTATATATTGAGTATATTCTGTATATAATACAGTATACTGTATAATAACTTATATAAGTTAGCATGTAAAGCTTAAATCAATTTGCATCACTCATTCAGCGTACAACTTCACTCCAGGTTACAAATTCAATTCAAGGTAAATTTATTTCATTATTTTAAAAATAACAATTTATTAGAAATAATTATTTTAATTGTTTATTATAATAAATTGCTGACAAGATAACACTTACAAATTGTAAAAATAGATTTTATAATTTGTTAGCAACTAATTTTCATAATTTACTGACAAATACTATATAATTATTAAACTTTGATTTGTAAATTTAGGGCACTTGGTATACTAATAAAGTATTACATAATCTAACGACTAGTATATAAGTTAACTAAAGAAATAGATAGAATTGATAACATTTTCCAAAACAAAGTCTCCTTTTTTAAGTTTTTTGTTCAAAAGCTCTAAACACTTATTGACATCATTTTTGGTCGCATTGGAAGGCATTTGTCCGTAGATTTGAATGAAATGTTGGGACAGATTGTCCAGAATGGATTGACTGTGAAGTGAAACAAACTGTTGTCTACAAAAGCGATTCATTGTTTCCACGCAATTGGGATGAGTCCAGAAGCAGTCGTGAACCGAAGCAAACGTAATGCCTTCCCGTTGACACTGAAGGGCTGTTAGCATCATATGAGACGAGTCCAGCGAATGAATGAAATTGGGAGGAAAGGCGTTCTTTTGTTTCAATGAATTTGGTTTCCTTTTCAATGCATATCATTCATCAATTAGAAAATAATTTAAACAAAAAGATTTGAAAACTCACTGAAAAGCGTCCGAACGACTCAAATACTTTAAAGTGGTTTCATTTCTAATTCCCTAAAAAATATTTTAATCATTAGTCTTATTATAACTTAAGAAAAATAATTTTAGTTAAGAATATGAGACATACAAGAAATGTTTCGCCAATTTTCGTTTTGGTCTTATGATAGGGTTGGACAACAGGAAAGTCCAAAGGGGTCACCCATTCAACTGGTTTCTCATAAACTCGCGATATATGTCGGGCGCAGTCTGTGAGCCAATCCTGAATACAACGCGTTTCGGTAAACATCTCTTGAATCGAAAGAAACGTTTTTTGTGTCAAATATATTGCGGCAGAAAATGCTCGCTCTTTAGGGAAGGTTTCGGTCTCTTTCAAGCGCTTAAATATCTGGAGTTTAGCCCCAAATCGAGTCACGCCATAAACATATGTCATAACCGTTTGTTTAACTATCTTTCGGCCCACATATCCGTCCAGAAGTAAAGCGATTTCATGGCCTTCAGTCGCGTCTTTCACTCTTTGCTTCTCGACGAGAGCCGCGACATCGCTGTAGACATCCTGTGGTCTGTCAGACGGATGTAAGTTCACTGATTCGGCTCCGGACTGATCGCGTCCGAGGGCTGCGTAGTGTTGCAGACCATTGCAGGAGCCGTCTTGATGTACGGGGAAGTGACTCCTGTATTGCTTATGATCTGGACTTCGCATAGCGTTTACTATTTCCATACAACAGGCCAGTGTCTGCCAGGGCTCATCACTTCGAGTCCACCACTTGCAGCCCTCCAATGGGTTGTCAGCCGAGTCTATAATAAGTGGCAGTATTTCATTAGCAAACGCCAGTCTCTCCAAAACGGATGACCGCTTCTTAAGTCCCGTCAGATTTATTAAATGGATTTTGAGCCAATCGAGTCCATACTCGCCCAGTGGCTGTCCCTTTGCGAACAGCATTAGGGAACGCGTCAAATCACTGCCCAAATGGTTAAAATGAGGCGGAACTGGATATACGCGGCCTCTAAAGTCAATATTATTTGGAAACCAAAACATTTTATTGCGAAACTAAAAAGTAAAAACTTATTAAATATATTTAAAACTAATATTTATATCAATCAGTACGTGATTAGCAATCGATAGTTTGTAGAGACAATCGCACCATAAACTGTACATTTCGGCCATTTCTCGCTTTTGTTGATTTCTCTGACGGTATGTTTGGATTTTGTCACTTCTGGACATTGATCTGAATAAACATTTTCCAATAGATTAAGTCTTATTTAATTGCATAACTATTAAACTATAGATCATACTGTTCCACTTTAGGCAGCGGTGGGTACTCTGATATGGGTTTAGGAATACTCAAACTGAGGTCTCCTTTATTTCGAAACAAATGGACGGCCACTTCCAACACCTTATAATAACCAACAAATCAATTTATATATACGGGTAATGGTGGGGTAGTTTACATGTCAAACAAACATACTTTGGAATTGAGAATCCAGGGACACATCGAGAGGTAATTCAATGAATCAAAAGTGGGGTATAGTTTCTGTTTGTCGTAATTATTATAAATCCATTTCTGGTAACTGTCGGGCATTCGGACGAAATCGGTTTTAGACAACAAATATCCGCCAAATTTTGGTGAAATCCATGGTGTGGGCGGACAAAGCATTGGCAACATATTGATATCAAACACTAAACTATCTAAACATGTCTTTCGGAACAGTTTCGTCACAATAGGATGCGCTCTGAATTCTTTCTGATACTTAAGATTGCCTATAGATTTATATGTGATGCCAAATGCGGGCACTTTTCGTTTGCAAGTATTGTTTAATCGCATAATATTTGTGTCAATTTTGATTTCTTGAACGATGAGGTCGTAGAGGAACTGTCCGACCCCTACCTGCACGTGAAAGGGCCACACCTTATCACGAGAGTTATCGTTATAGTAATGTTGGTTCTCTGCCATCAATTTGTGCCAAAACTGTCTCGGATTGTATTTTGTGGTCAATTCTGCATTTTTATAGTAATCAATATATTTATTATAGAGTTCCTGGAAGTCCTGAGCGGTTCCATCCCTGATGTGAGTCTTAACCAAATACCGAAGCATTATTTTTTTGCCTAAATTCGCATAAAGTGTGGACATCGGAGGGCTATAGTATTCACTCATATTGGAACAAAGTCTGATCTCTTCGATCATGGCTTCGATGTAATACTTTGTGTCCAAAACAGCTAAATATGGGTATAAAGTCATGCCATTGATCTCATTGGACTGCGTCTGCAACGTCTTGATTTGTCTTAAAAACGCTTCTTTAAGCAAATCTCTCCATTCATTCTCACATTTATTCCACTGATTCTTCAGATATTTCTTCTTTTTATCGCTCGTATCACTCAAATCGTCCGAAACGATTGATTTGATAACAATATTTCCGTTTATTTCTAACCCAAACTGTTGCTCCACTGCAGTCTCTAAACCACTCAAATCCATGTCTTCGCACGGATTATAAGTCTTTTGCTCTAATTTGTCGATTGATTTCATTAAATCACACGAATATTCTGCGGCAAAAGTCACCGCATTTGGCTTCAGTTGTGGAATCGATTTACTCAATAGTTTTAATATAATATTCTTCTCCTCTTTACTAACAAAACACTTATCAAAGACTTTCTCAGCGTTTAAGTCATTTAGAGTCATGTCGTCGAAGGCGGACATCACGTCAAGAGCCGTGGGAGGGATGGCCTGTCGTCCCATTGAGAGGAAATAATAAGCAAATGACTCGATGTTTGGCCTAACATTAGCAACGTCTTGATTTGTCTTAAAAACGCTTCTTTAAGCAAATCTCTCCATTCATTCTCACATTTATTCCACTGATTCTTCAGATATTTCTTCTTTTTATCGCTCGTATCACTCAAATCGTCCGAAACTATTGATTTGATAACAATATTTCCGTTGATTTCTAACCCAAACTGTTGTTCCACTGCAGTCTCTAAACCACTCAAATCCATGTCTTCGCACGGATTATAAGTCTTTTGCTCTAATTTGTCGATTGATTTCATTAAATCACACGAATATTCTGCGGCAAAAGTCACTGCATTTGGCTTCAGTTGTGGAATCGATTTACTCAATAGTTTTAATATAATATTCTTCTCCTCTTTACTCACAAAACACTTATCAAAGACTTTCGCAGCGTTTAAGTCATTTAGAGTCATGTCGTCGAAGGCGGACATCACGTCAAGAGCCGTGGGAGGGATGGCCTGTCGTCCCATTGAGAGGAAATAATAAGCAAATGACTCGATGTTTGGCCTAACATTTGCCGATTTCATCAAATTTAACAACTCTTTGATTCGCGCGGTTTTGCCTCTTTGTGCCCAACCCTTGAGTAACACATTATAGACGCCGACGTTCAGCGCATTCATGTCTTCGTACTTTCGGTTCACTTTCACGGCTTTCATGTGTTTGTTTCGGTAATACAATAGCACTGAATGTGCTTTCGATACCATATCCGCATAAATACACGAATGGATGTAACTCTTCAGAGCAGTTCTTAGGCTCAATGTCTTCGATTTGTTCTCCAGTTCTTTCAACTGTTGTCTCATCTCTTCCTGTCTTTTGCTGCTTTTTGTCTGTTTCTTCACTTTAGCCACACTTTTGTTGTCATCAGTCGAGTTCACTATCACATCATCACTGGTTTCAATCAATTGGTTCGTGTGCTCCACTTCTGGAGCCAAGACATTCAGATCCGATTCACACCACTCGTAACCAACGGCCAACTCGTGTGGTTCGGGCTCTTGGATCAGTTCACTAGCCGTCACCTCATTGTCCATATAATGGGACATCACATCCAATTGATGGTCACTTTTGACACCACTTACAGACACTGTCCTCTCCGGAGGCAACCGTTTATCAAATTTCTCGATATCTTTGAGAAGTCGCGGAAATTGTTTGGGTTTTAGTTGTGAATTGGATTTGCATTTCACGGCTCCCTTTGACTTGATGTCAATTTTGGGTGTCTTTGTGGACATCATTTGTATTGTGTTTGTGGTATTCAATCGATTCAAACAATTATAACAAATGAATAACTTTTTGCTTATATTTGACTGCATTTTCAGTCATCAACTGATGGAGTGATCGCTAATTCAAATGAAATCACATTTACTTGTGTTTACATTTTGGTCTCATTCAGTCACATGTTTTACAACACATTCACAAATCACGTATTCATTTCATACCCTATGAATTTGCTACTGTTGCATTCACTACCAAACTAATCACAATTAGACTACCCTGGGCACTCTCATTCATTCATTGTCTGCTTCATTATGAAGACTAAGCATTCAATTGGTCTCATATCGGGTGGGCGACAGACAATGAGCCGAATGTATGGCACATATGACTGCACTCTAAGAGCCAAACCATTGCAATGCAAACACGAATACAATTCAATTAAAACACTATTTATTAGATTTCATTACAATTACTATATTTAAGTCAACAATCATTTCATTACAACTAAAGCCTAAGAGAGTGTGAGAGACCAGTGGTGGGCAACATATCACACGTCGTATCCGATGAGATGTCTTCGGCCGATGCACTCGCCCACGAAGAACCAGCACAACACCTCCACAGTGACCAGGGTGTTGAGCCACGCCTCCCTCACCGTCAACTGTCTCCACCCACC